CTGAAATCCTCCAATTTGTTCACCTAATACTGAGTAAACAGTTTTCAAAGGATTTTAACATAATAAAGTTAACTTCGTTATGTCATCTGAACCAAGGATTGGTTACTTTAGTTAAAAATTGTATAAATAAAAATACTGCACTGATAAAAAAAATACTTTAATTATGCTACAAACTCTCACAATTTACCATAAGTGCTATGAATTGTGCACATTAACAGTCTACTTGTGATAATTGCACAAATGCCAAAAACCAGTGATAACATTAATGTGTTGTAAAACAACAGTAGTTAGTTATAGGTCCTTATGAATTCGCACAAATTATGAATGACTTCCACTGCCCAGGGGCTCCAGGTGCATGTGTGCCTCATGGTAATCTTGCATTACATCATACTTGTCAACTGTCCCGGATTTGCTGGGATAGTCATGCTTTTTACTTAGCAGTCCCGATGGCTGTGTCCCTGGCAGTGTCCTAGAATCTGAGCTACAGGGACAGTAGCATGCTGTCACTAATCTAAATCTACAATTGGAATTACATCTCCCCCCTGTACTCTGCCCTCTTGTCCTCTCTGTACTGTGCCCATTGTGTTGATTAAATAAAAAGGATAATCTCCTGCGCCAAAATGTAGATGTAAATGATTAAATGATTAAAGCAGCCTGTATTAGTAGTGCCACAGCCACAGCACCAAAATCAACAACTCTATATAAAACCAATTTAATACGGCGCTAAATAAGCAAACTAAGATAAACCATATAATATAGTGGCTGACATATATATAAGGAGTGGCTGACATATATATAAAGAGTGAAGTGGACAGCTTTGAGGATAACATGCATGAAGGTGAGCAAAAACGTGAATAATGTCCTTAATGGGTATACATAAGGTGAATGGTGTCCTTAATGGGTCACACAGACTTCATGCAGGTGTGAGCCACAATGTGCCAATCCTCTACGGCTGGGGTGCCCCCCTCACCTTCCTGCTCAGGCCCCCAGGGACCAAAGAGCTTATAATGCTGATTGTAATGATCCTGCTGGTCGGTGGATCCTGCTGGTAATAGTGGTGTCACTCACTCCTCCTGGTAGGTCTTAGTATGGAATAGTAACCTCAGCACTGCCCGTGATGTCTCTCCGATAAAGGCTCTCCAGTACGGTCACCAGTGAGGCAAGAGAGACTTACATAGTGTAAAACCTTTTATTATAATTAAAAACAACCAAGAGCCTACTTACACGGATCTGATAGTAAGCAGGCCTTTACACCTCTCCAAGGGTGTACTGTGTTCAGGACTTGGAGCACCAAGATGGCGTCCACGCCGGATGTGACGTCAAGCCGTCAATCGTAGGAAGCTCCTCCCTCTGGCGTATCTACGCGTTACGTCACTCAAACACGTGACTTCATCAGGATATACGCCTACTAGCGGTGGAGCTTGATTTATTGGTCGATTACCCAATCAGCATTGCTGATGGGCGGTGCCGACCGCCATTGGAGTGAAGTACAATGAGGGGCGGACAGTCTTCTAGGTATCTTGGTTAAAATAAGAATAAAATCTCAAACCAAACGATCGTATCGGGGGTGGATATATGGGATGAAAATATATATAGGTGGATTACGGTCACTCAGGTGCAAGCTCCGATGACGAAGTAAGGCACCTAAAGCGGCACTCTAACCTCAATTCCCACCATAGAAACAATAATATAAAAGGAAAATGTAAAATAATTTTGGAATAAACCAAATTAGAAAGGAGATAAAACATTAGGGGGATCTATAATAAAGATAACCCCTAGTAGTACCTATTCACCAAGGGTGACTAGGTATATATCATAAATATTAAGACCAGATCGCCCATATATACAGTACACCATAGGGTTGGTCAATGACCATAACATGACATTATAATTAACAATACAGAGCCTAATGCAAACATAATGCAGAACATAGAAGATGTTAGGGGTCTGATTTAATAGTTGCTGATGAAGCAATTCAGGTCGAATTCAACGTTGAGGCCCCTCGGGGCTTGTGACCTCAAAAGGAAAATCCATTTGGATTCCATTTGACTAATAGATCTCACTTTATTGCTCCCCCTCCAGTGTCTTTTATATTTTTCTATTGCCCAGAATTTAAGTTTGGACGGATCATTATGATGGTGGGTGGTAAAATGCCTGGGAACACTATGTTTAGTGTGGCCCTATTTTTTTTTTTTTTTTTTTTTTTTTTTTTTTATATTTTGGATATGTTCCCTAATCCTCTTCCACATGGGCCTCTTAGTTCGTCCCACATATTGCAGCCCACACTCGCACTGGAGACAATATACTACCCCCTCTGTGTGGCATGTAATAAACTCCTTGATGGTATATGTCATTCCTGTAGTGGTTGCTTGGAATTCTCTCATTTTCCTATTACTTCCCTTTGTGGCCTTGCAGGCGTAGCAGGTCTTACACAGGTAGAAACCCTTTAGATCAAAAAGTGTATTGCTGCGGTTAATCTGAGGGGGGTCAATCACATTTTTTTTTTTTTTTTTTTGGGTAATCGACCAATAAATCAAGCTCCACCGCTAGTAGGCGTATATCCTGATGAAGTCACGTGTTTGAGTGACGTAACGCGTAGATACGCCAGAGGGAGGAGCTTCCTACGATTGACGGCTTGACGTCACATCCGGCGTGGACGCCATCTTGGTGCTCCAAGTCCTGAACACAGTACACCCTTGGAGAGGTGTAAAGGCCTGCTTACTATCAGATCCGTGTAAGTAGGCTCTTGGTTGTTTTTAATTATAATAAAAGGTTTTACACTATGTAAGTCTCTCTTGCCTCACTGGTGACCGTACTGGAGAGCCTTTATCGGAGAGACATCACGGGCAGTGCTGAGGTTACTATTCCATACTAAGACCTACCAGGAGGAGTGAGTGACACCACTATTACCAGCAGGATCCACCGACCAGCAGGATCATTACAATCAGCATTATAAGCTCTTTGGTCCCTGGGGGCCTGAGCAGGAAGGTGAGGGGGCACCCCAGCCGTAGAGGATTGGCACATTGTGGCTCACACCTGCATGAAGTCTGTGTGACCCATTAAGGACACCATTCACCTTATGTATACCCATTAAGGACATTATTCACGTTTTTGCTCACCTTCATGCATGTTATCCTCAAAGCTGTCCACTTCACTCTTTTTATATATGTCAGCCACTCCTTATATATGTCAGCCACTATATTATATGGTTTATCTTAGTTTGCTTATTTAGCGCCGTATTAATTGGTTTTATATAGCATTGTGTTGATTAGTCTTTGATTTACAGCACATTTTCTTATCGTTTAAAACTGATTTTGTTAAAAGTACTAATTAAAATTAAAATAAATATATGTTTAATTCTATCAACTATTTATACTTTAATTCTTGACAGTAGGTGCATAACTTGGGGCAGGCTGGTAGGGGTCCCAATGCTTTACTTTGCCCAGGGGCTCATGATGGTATTAAGATAGTCCTGAGCCAAACGCCAGGGAGATGCTTTCTAGGGCGAGACTGTGAGCCTGCTGCTGCTATACAGTCTTCCTCTCTGCTCATCTATAGCAGAGAGTCATGTACAGCACCCTCTTTTTAATAATGTTATTTTATTGTTTTTCATGAGAAACTTGACTGTTATCATATTTGGTCTAACCTTTGAATATTACATTTTTTCAAGCTACTCTTATGCAGGCCATAGACGGGGAGAAAAAACGTCCGATTTTTCTTTTAAAAAACGAAAAATCGGTCGTTCAAGCGGCCGACGTTACCACCAATGGTAAAAAAAAAATCGGCCGATTTTCATCCCGTTTACAGCTGGCAAAAAGTGTCCCTGCAGAGAGCTCTGCTATTTCTTTGACAGTTCTTTGACAGTTCCTTGACATTTACAGAGGTTGCAACAATGTATCTATTTGTATCCATTTAGGATACAGATGTTTTTATTCAGAAACAAATAGATACAATGTTGCAACCACTGTAAATGTCAAGGAACTGTCAAAGAACTGTCAAAGAAATAGCGGAGCTCTCTGCAGGGACACTTTTTGCCGGACTGGAATTCCTCTTATTTTTCATCCTTCTTCTTCTTCTCCTTCTTCATCATCCTCTTCTTCTTCTTCTTCGTCATCATCATCCTCTTCTTCTTCTACTTCTTCATCATCATCCTCTTCTTCTTCTTCTACTTCATCATCATCCTCTTCTACTTCTACTTCTTCTTCATCATCCTCTTCTTCTTCATCATCATCCTCTTCTTCTTCTTCTTCTTCATCATCATCCTCTTCTTCTTCTTCTACGTCTTCTTCCTCTTCTTCATCATCATCCTCTTCTTCTTCTACTTCTTCCTCTTCTTCATCATCATCATCCTCTTCTTCTTCATCATCATCCTCCTCCTCTTCTTCTTATTCTTCTTCTTCATCATCATCATCATCCTCTTCTTCTTCTTCTTCATCATCCTCTTCTTCTTCATCATCATCCCCTTCTTCTTCATCATCATCATCCTCTTCTTCTTCATCATCATCCTCTTCTTCTTCTTCATCATCATCCTCTTCATCATCATCATCATCCTCTTCATCATCATCATCATCATCCTCTTCTTCTTCATCATCCTCTTCATCCTCTTCTTCCTCTTCTTCTTTTTCTTCTTTTTGTCTTCCTCTTGCAGGTCACTGCTCATGCGTAGATTTTTTATCTGTAAAAAATCGGCCAATTTGCCCATTATTGCCGCGAAAATCGGCCGATCGGCAAAGTCGGCCGATTTTTTTCCAACTTTACCGATAAAAAAAACCGGCCAAAATACCGAAAAACGGCCGAACAAATAGCCCACTAAGGATCCGAAAATCGGCCGATTTTATTTTCGTCTATGGCCTGCATTAGTTCCATTATAGTAATTTAATAATTGAAGTTTTGTTACTGATCAAGCATACCTTTGACAAATGACACAAATGTATTAAAAAAGGTTAAGTACCAGTCCTTGGATGTATGGTTACACTGTTACATCTTTTTTTCTATTTTAGATTTCTTCATTTAATGATCCTGATTTCTTGAAACAATTAGAAATGGCCATTAAATATGGCTTCCCATTCCTGTTTCAAGACGTGGATGAGTATATTGACCCTGTTATTGACAATGTTCTGGAGAAGAACATCAAAGGTGCTCAAGGTCGCCAGTTCATCATTTTAGGAGATAAAGAGGTGGATTATGATCCAAACTTCAAATTGTATCTAAACACTAAGTTAGCAAACCCCAAGTACTCCCCATCAGTGTTTGGTAAAGCCATGGTGATCAATTATACTGGTGAGTATAGATATAATTCTCTGTAATTAAATCAAATATGTATTATAGTAAGACATAGCTCACACTCTTCTAAGCAATTTTCTTAACGGCAATAAAATGAGCATCAGGTGGTTTACAATAAAACTTTGATTAACAGGCACATCAAAATATTTTGAAACTGTCAGAAGTTCTTTTTGTGACATCAGTGACACTGAACAAAGGTCTTCTGATGATTCAAATTAGGTGGTATGGCTGTTTTTTAAAACCAGATGATTTTTTTTTGCTTAAAGAATAAAGTAGTGAAATGTGTATTGAAAACACAAGGTAGAGATTCATACAGAGAACACTTCCACCACCTCTCTATAGCCACTTCACCTCTGTGCTTTTTGTATTGTTCTAACTTTAGCATGTGGAAGCATGAGTAACATTTCCTATGTTACCTAGAAGGAAGTATGCAATTGGGAGCACTTTTCAGGAAAGGGGAGGACTATAATTGGGCAACAGTCATTATATCTTAATCATTATGACCATGAGACAGACACGTTGCATCAATATATAATGACATGTGTGGTTATAGCAATTCTATATTAAGACAGAGCATAACTACATTGGTAACTACATTATATTTTTTTAACATTCGTATTCCTAAAAGTAAAATGACCGCATTACATTACAGCTTAGAACACAGTTGTCACTAGCAAAAAAAGGACAGATCAACAAGCAGTCTAAATTTCCAGTTGAGTGTTTAAAATAACTAGTCTGTGTGGCCAATTAATAGCATGTGATAGAGTTTTTTGCATGGCAAATTAGGGCAACATTATGTGTTTTTGTGCCTTTGAAGGTGACCATTTACGTAGCGTAGCTGTAACTTGAGCCCAAAAAGATCATTAAGATTATATTTTGGTGATGTATTTATCACAAGGTGTATAATTAAAGATTGTAGTCTATAAATTGAGACCTGTAGGCAAATTAAACTTTAATATTGAGAAGGCAGAATTGTAATCTTTCCTATACTTCTCCTTTCTATGTCATCCTCAGTTACCCTGAAAGGCCTGGAAGATCAGTTACTTAGTGTCATTGTTGGCTTTGAAAGAAGAGAATTAGAAGAGCAAAGAGAACATCTGATACAAGAGACCAGTGAAAATAAAAAGTTGTTAAAGGACTTGGAGGATTCATTGCTAAGAGAGCTTGCCACGTCTACTGGTAACATGCTGGATAATGTAGAACTAGTTCATACTCTGGAAGAGACTAAATCAAAAGCAACTGAGGTAAGGTGCTAAAGGTGCAGGTGACTCGTATAGATCCAACTTGATTTAATGCATTCAGGTACTTTGATTTAGCCACTGATATAAGCATTGTTGTTAGTTCTAAGAGTAAAGATGCAAATATATAAGAAGATGGTAAAAGTGTCAATGCTGTGACAATTTCAGAACATTTGCAACAAATATGGACACTAGAAATGGAAGAACAAATGTATGTTAGCCCCATATAAGATTCATCAATGTAGCTTTTAAAACTTGTTTTTCTTTAGTTATAACCACATACGAGGTGGTATCAAAAAGTTTTGAGACTAGATTTGTAACACGCCAACAGATGGGAGCACAAGGCTGTACGCACAGTCACAGGGAGCACCGACCTTCTAATGTCAGTGTGTCAAAAGACATTGCCCTGTGTACATCAGGAGCTGTGCGTTACCATGCCTGCTATTATGTCCTTGACAGCAAGTTAGAACAAGCATTAAACATGAAATTCTATGTGAAACTGGGGAAATCTGCAATAGAGACATTTGAAATGATTTGGCAAGTTTACGATGATGCTGCAACGAGTTGTTTGAGGTGTTTTGAGTAGCATTCGCACTTCAAAAGTGGAATAACATCACTGGAAGACGACGAGAGATCAGGAATATCTACAACGATCTAAACCCCCAAAAATGTTGAAATGTCTCAACCATTCGGCAACTTGTGCATAATAATCATTGGAGAACAATCCACAACATTTCTGCCATTGTAGTTGTGTCATACGGAACAGTCCAGGCAATCCGCACGTGTGATTTGAACATGCGGGCGTGTTGCTGCCGAGTTGTCCACAGGCTGCAGTGATCTCACTTCCGCACCCACCCTACTCGCCAGATCTGGCTCCTGTGTTTGACAACATTGCGGAGATCCAGCATGAATAGCAGAAGGTGCTTGACACGCTTCGAAAAGAAGACTTCCCCGACACATTCCAGAAGTGGCAGGAACACTGGGAGCGCTGTATTGCTGTGCAAGGGGACTACTTTGAAAGTGATAGTGTGTAAACGTAGATAAATAAATTACTAAACAGAGCTAGTCTCAAAACTTGAGACTACTTTGATACCACCTTGTATGCATCTCAGTTATCTATACTGACTCACAATAATTTAGCGTAATATTTGATTTTAGTTGTAGCTAGATGGCATTCAGTGTAGGTCAGCTTTTGAGTGTCGATGCCAAATCGACTCCTTCTTTTGCTATGATCATTGGACATTACTATTTTATGCATTCTATGTACAGTATGCACTCTGTGTATGCAATCATCTGTAATTTGGGTCTCACTCCCATGATGCCCAGTTATTCCTCTCTGCCACCAGCAAGTAGCTCTCATCATAAACTGGTGACTACTTACAGCATATTGTAAGCCCATATCTCAGTGCTAACTTGAGATACTTACATTTTCTTCTAACTTGATAACCAATCTAAATGTATAAAAAAAATCTGTAATACTCTTAATTAGATAATTATTTCCCAGTTAGCGGCTGCATTGTAATTCTTCTAATATTCTTCTAGGGTAACTGTTATTAACATTGATGTTCTGTGTTTCTGTTAGGATTGGCAAAGACCAAAAATGAGAAATGACTTTTGTAATTTTAGGTGTCAGAAAAACTTAAACTGGCAGAGCGGACTGCAGTGGACATTGATAAATTACGAGATGGGTACAGACCAGCTGCCAAGCGTGGAGCCATTCTTTTCTTTGTCCTGTCTGAAATGGCACTGGTCAACTCAATGTATCAATATTCTCTGTCCTCATTCTTGGCAGTCTTTGATTTATCACTGCGGAAGTCTTTGCCTGATGGTATTTTGGCCAAAAGGTTGAAAAACATAATGGACACTTTAACATTCAATGTCTACAATTACGGATGTACAGGTAGGCATTTTTGCTAATGGTTATATGTACTGTTTGTCACCAAGACAATTAGCATATTTTCCTGCCTTCAAACTTTTTACCAGGATACATAAATATATTTGATACTTGAGTTGATGTGTAAAACTGTCTTTAACCACCTGCCCTCCAGAGGATTTACCCCCCTTCCTGACCAGGCCATTTTTTGCGATACGTCGCTGTGTTACTTTAACTGACAATTGCGCGGTCATGCAACACTGCACCCAAATTAAATTCATAACCTTTTTTTTCCCACAAATGGAGCTTTCTTTTGGTGGTATTTGATCGTCTCTGCGGTTTTTATTTTTTGCGCTATAAACAAAAAAAGACTGACAAGTTAAGAAAAAAAAAAACAATATATTTGACTTTTTGCTATAAAACATATCCAGTAAAAAACTTTAAAATATCTAATTTCATCATAAATTTAGGCCACAATATATTGTTCTACATGTCTTTGCTACAAAAAAAATCCCAATACGTGTAAATTATTTGGTTTACATGAAAGTTATAGCATCTACAAATGGCGATATATTTACTGGAATTTGTTTTTTTTTTTATACTAGCAATGGCGGCGATCAGCAACTTATAGCGGGACTGCGGGGGGCATTCTGACACTGGGGGGGAACTGACTTACCGCCACTGACATACCCAGTGACACTAATACAGTGATCAGTGCTAATAAAAAGCACTGTCACAGTACTAATGACACTGGGCAGGAAGGGGTTAACATCTGGGGCGATCAAAGGGTTAATTGTGTGCTGTGTGTATTTTACTATGTGTGCTGTGTGTGTTTTACTATGCAAACATGCTGCTTTGTATTGCTCTGCTATGCAATACTGACAGGGGATAGATCTGTATTATTTGCATACAGACCTCTGCCCTGTCACCTCTCAGTGTTCCTCCGTAATCTCTGGGTGCTGGCAGGGAGTCTCCGGCCGGGATGCTGCCAAAGGTGGCGTGGGTAGGGCGGCGCGCGTGTGCCCCCTACCCGGAAATGGAGAATGATCTTTTGAACCCTGCCCTTACATCCTTGCTGTGGTTGGAACCTGGACAGAGACCTCAGAGAGAGTTGGTACCCCTTACGGTTCATGCAACTTTACAAACTTGGGATACTTACTTATGTAAGGGCCTAGTGTCTTCTAGGCTGAGCCCTTTGACCCCATTGTTTGGGCTAACTTCATTCCCTTCCATGGAACAGTGTTCTCGGTTCCTATGTTGGCATCGCCAGGATGGGCTTCTACTGCGCCACATGTGTGGCTGGACCTTTAAGCCTCTTTTCCAATTCTTCCTTCTTGTCATAGTACGTCACTAGCATGGTTGGAATACACTCAACTGAAACATTATTTGAGTAAGCGGCACTGTACGGATCGCCTGACACGATCTTCATTGGCTTTTGAATCTCTCCTATCTCAATCGTCTAGACCTGAACTCACGCTTTCGCAGGTATACCAGATCTTACTGCAAGAGACCTGTCCAAATATCCCACCGTTCCTTTCTAAATGGGAGCAGGAATTAAACACGTTGGCAAAGGGACTGGACTTGGACAAGATATTGGCTGTATCCTACAAATTATCTGTATCTTATGCTCATGAACACAATTACAAAATCCTGTCTAGATGGTATTGTTGCCCTACGATTTTGCATAAAATTGACCCATCTATCCCTGAGATATGCTGAAGATGCTTAGGAGAACCTGGTTCCATGGCCCATATTTGGGGCACTTGCCCAAAAATACTACCTTTTTGGGAGAAGATTCTCAATTTGTTTACTACATTAGTGGGAGACTATATTCCAAATGAGCCTAGGATTACTATATTGTCTATGCTGTATAAGCAAATTAAAAGAAGTCTGGTGTGACACTTTATTACGGCAGCTCGATCTGTAATCGCCAATCATTGGCGTCAGACTGAGGCTCCGTCTATAGCTGAATGGACTTGTGAGGTTGACATGATTAAGTATATGGGACAGATGATTGCTTGGGACAAGAATAAATCCAAATCATTCAAGCTTATGCGGACAGTGTACTCTCACTTCAGATTTTCAACGGGCTTTGACTTCTTTATCTCAGCTTAGGTCAACATTCCTTTTTTTAATCAAATTCTCCTCCCCCATGTATATGGGGTTTGTTTTTTGTTTTTTTCTCTTCCTTCTATGTTCTCATTATTTTCTCTCTCTCTTTCTTCTTTCTCTTTCTTCCTTTTCTGTTTCCTATTCTTTTGTCCTATCCAATAATCAGCTTCACAGTGTTATGATATCACTTATTTACAGGGCACATTGCCTTTACATATGCTTTCCGGATGATATCTCTCTTACGTGTATGGGGTACGATAGCATAATTAATTCCAAGACTTTGGCTAAAGCTAGTTACAGCTGTTTTGCATATTATTCCCCTCTGTTATAGCTTTATAATGTTATATATTGTGTTTTATGCATGAGGTGTTATGCTTTTGCTCACTTATTCATATGCTTTGTTTAAATCCAATGTATTTCTGTATTGTTTGCAAATACTTTATAATAAAAAGAGATTAAACATAAATATTGAACATATCATATATATCATTGTATCATTGGTGTTTTCATTCCATTTCAGGCTTATTTGAAAGACATAAGCTACTATTTTCCTTCAATATGACTATAAAGATAGAACAAGCAGATGGCAGGGTGCCACAGGAAGAACTGGATTTTTTCTTAAAAGGTAATAAAACCTGAAAAATGATGACTATGAGCAAGCAGAACTGTCAGCAGATGAAACATGAAATGAGAGAAGTATTTCTTTCCAGAAAGGTTTTATAATGTAATAAATGAGCAGAAGCAAGGCCAGTGACAGAATAGGCTGTGTTTGGCTAAATCATTGACATTTATTTTGGATACTTCTTTTTTTTTAAATGTGGATTTGGTCAGAAGCCCGCAGTTTTTGTTCTCATTGCATACTGATACATTCTCCTAAATTTTTAAGGAAATATATCCCTTGAGAAAAGTAGGAGGAAGAAGCCATGTTCCTGGCTCCCAGACCAAGGTTGGGAGGATGTCATGCGGCTGTCTGAACTGTTCCCATCACTGTTTGGGTCACTTCCTGATGACGTAGAGAGGCATGAGTCGGAGTGGAAGGCTGTAAGTTACTTATCTATGACTGTGAATGTTAAACATCACCAACACCTTATCTATCTATCTATCTATCTATCTATCTATCTATCTATCTATCTATCTCTCAAATGCACACATATATTGGGAGTTTATGAAATGTGCATCATATTTATGATCAGGATTTTGGGGCTGGGGCACACTTAAGAAATGTTTTGTTTTGGATAAATAATCAAAATTAGCTTTCATTGTCTAAACTGCACTAAAAAAAGCATCAAAATGTATTCCCTGAAAGATGTCATGTATTATGTTATAGTGGTACGACCTGGACACTCTGGAACAATATCCTTTCCCGCTTGGCTACAATGACAAGCTTTCCAGCTTCCAGAAACTGATACTCCTGCGTTGCTTCAGAGTAGACCGTGTATACAGAGCTGTTACGGACTATGTTACAGTTACCATGGGAGAGAAGTAAGTACTGCAAACATTGGGCTAAAGGTGATATTGTATATATTGCAGTTAACTTCACTGACATGACAGGTTGGAACACTGGATGTTTTTAGTGACTAGTGTGTGAAATACACAAAACTGATAGCTCTAATTATATTTTTATTAGTTGTTTTGGAAGGGTCTCTAAAAGATGGATGGAGTGGTATTTATTTGGACTGAGCCATTGATGTAGGAACACTGGTGGAAAAGGTTGATATTGTGATCAGGCCAACTTTTCCTTTTATTCTGAGTTTCTGTTCTCCCAGCAGAGAAGGGAAAGAGGAAGGGAAAAATCTCAATGGCAGCCTTGCATCGGTCTGCTAGATGAGCACAGTTGGAAGTTAGGGCGCTCCTTCCCTGCAATAAGGCCTTGTATCTGCTCTTTTACCCATTTGGGTATAGCTGGTGTCTGTGTGTTTCCAGATTTTGATCTGGAAAGTATATACAGTGGGGAAAATAATTATTTGATCCCCTGCAGATTTTGTAAGTTTGCCCACTTACAAAGAAATTAGGGGTCTATAATTTTATCATAGGTGTATTTTAAATAATAGAGACATAATATCAACCAGAAATCCAGAGATAACACGTGATATAAATGTTATAAATTGAGTTGCAGTTCAGTAAGTAAAATAAGTATTTGATCCCCTACCAACCAACAATAATTCTGGCTCCCACAGACTGACTATGTGATCATGTGGTACACAGATTAGTCCTGTCAATTTAAGAAGGTGCTCCTAACTACAACTCGTTTAGTACATATAAAACACCTGTCCACAAAATCTTTCTTCCATTCAAACCTCACGGGCAAGACCAAAGAGCTGTCAAAGGACGTCAGGGATAGGATTTTAGACCTGCACAAGGCTGGAATAGGCTACAAGATCATCAGCAAGAAGGAGACAACTGTTGGAGCGATTATTCGCAAATGAAAGAAATACAAATTAACCATCAATCACCCTTGGTCTGGATCTCCATGAAAGATTTTGCCTCATGGGGTAAGGATGATTATGAGAAAATTGAGGGATCTGCCCAGAATTACATGGGAGGGGCTTGTGAATGATCTCAAGGCAGTTGGGACCACAGTCACCAAACAAACCATTGGTAGCACAGTAAGCAGCCAGGAATTGAAATCCTGCAGCACCCGTAAGGTTCCCCTCCTCAAGAAGGCACATGGTCAGACCCATCTAAAGTTTGCCAATGACCATCTAAATGATTCAGAGAAGGATTGGGAGAAAAGTGTTGTGGTCAGATGAGACCAAAATTGAGCTCTTTGACATTGACTCGACTCGCTTTGTTTGGATGAAGAAAAGTGCTGACTATGACTCTAAGAACACCATCCCTACAGTTAAGCATGGAGGTGGAAACATTATGCTTTGGGGCTGTTTCTCTACTAAAAGTACAGGCCGACTTTGCTGCATTGAGGGGTCAATGGTCGGGGCCATGTTTTGTAAAATCTTGGATGAGAACCTTCTTCCCTCAGCCAGAACACTGAAGATGGGTCTTAGATGGGTCTTCCAGCATGACAATGACCCAAAACATACCACCAGGCCAACAAAGGAATGGCTCAAGAAGAAGCACATTAAGGTCATGGAGTGGCCTAGCCAGTCTTCAGACCTTAATCCTATAGAAAATGGAGGGAGCTGAAACTTCGAGTTGACAGCCAAGAAACATTAAGGATTTAGAGAAGATCTGTAAAGAAGAGTGGACCAAAATCCATTCTGAGATGTGTGCAAACCTGGTAACCAACTACAAGAAACAACTTACCTCTGTGCTTGCCAGCAAGGGTTTCTCCGCCAAGTACTAAGTCATGTTTTGCTTGGGGATCAAATGCATATTTTACTCACTGAAGTGCAACTCGATTTATACCATTTGTATCATGTGTTTTTTTTGGGGGGGATTTTTGGTTGACATTCTGTCTCTACCATTTAAAATACACCTATGATAACAATTATAGACCCTTCATTTCTTTGTAAGTGGGCAAACTTGCAATATCTGCAGGGGAACAAATAATTTTTTTCCCCACTGTAAATATGCTCCCTATGTTGCAAATGCAACTCTGTTCATTTTTCATTCTACTATTATGACTGTGAAAGTGACCATTGCAAGCTATTGTGTGTGTGTGTTAAAATGAAATATCATACAGTAGTGGCGATCAGATCTAGAAGGGCTGAGAGAGGAAAAAAAAGGCACAGAACCGGGGATAGTTAAAAGCCACAGAAAAGCACCAGTGGGGGAATCAAGGGGATAAAGCCGCCCATCTGTACCTACTCTGCAGGGGCTGGCCACAAGGAGGTGGTCACACATCCATGTCGGGTCAGCTGTGAAGGCAACCAAATTGTAAAAAAAAACATGACACGCAGAATCCCAGCAGACCACCAGGGAAAGGGGGGGGGGGCAGGAGAGAGCAGGAACTGACCTTCACAGTGGACCACAGAGCTTGGGGAAGCTGCTGGGGAAACAGCTCTGACAGCTGTCTATATTTTCCGCCAAAACTATGACATCACCACTGCCGTACTGCGCATGCGCCAGAACGCCAGCACACATCGCCATCTTGCTGCACTGTGCACGTGCGAAGCCAAGCCTCGTTCCAAGGGCGGCTTGCGCATGTGCAGTGTGCCGTAGACCGCTCCAGAGCAGGAAGTGGCGGCCTGGAGCACAGCATTGCGCTCCAGGCACCCACTAGCACCAGGGAAAGATAAAGAAAGAGTAACAAGGAAAAAATTAGACCCATACTGGGCAAAGAGCACAGCTTACCAACCCCGCACAGCCACGACCACCTGCCTTGGAGACTCCCTCATCCATTTGGGAGCTACATGGCCACCTGTTGTTAGCAGACTATCGGGCCCAAGTTGCTGCTTGCCCCCCATTGGCAGACCTGAGCTCTTCCAGGCACCGTCGCCTGCTCACCCATTTCCATTGTTAGCTAAGGAATGCTGGAATTGATGGGGGGACACCTGCTTCGCCACTCCTGGCACCGCATCCATCCGGACCCGTAGAAACTGACAAGCAGCGCTTCACCTTGGATCTCCCAGAGAAGCTTGCTAGGTCTTAGTCATGGACCATCTATATGCGGGAACCAGGTAAAACTGGCACTAGGTCCAAAGGAGGAGGACAAAAAAGGAACATAGCCTCTGGCGAGGAGCAAAGATTTATGGGAGTGGGGTCCTATAGGAGAGAAGAGGGCGGGACTAACCGATACGTATGCTGCCATGGAGTCTGTCAGGAAAAAAAGTTTTGCCTATAGCTCCACTTTAAAAAAGCATGAGATTTTTAAAATTTGGGAAAATAAAAATGACTGGATGAATCATTGCTATGTTCACAACTGGCAGTTCCTAAAGCAGAACTCCAGTCACAGACATCTATATAAACTCATAAGGGAAAGAAAGTTACCTTATGTTGTGCTTTGCAAGTTCAGTGCTGTACTTCTGGTGCTGCGGGTATGAATGAGAGCTGTGAATGCATACCTCCCAACTTTTTGAGATGAAAGGAGGGACACCTATTAGCAAATGTATATAGGCATAGGGCACACCCTCTGCTACACCCCTTTAAAGGAGAATAATACAAAGAAAAGGATTAGTTAAACCCATAAGTGCTTTTTTTTTGCAACTACTATTCCTTTATACTGGCTTTTGAAGTTTACAAATGCAATTTAGAAATTGGATGAAAGGTTTAGAACAGTGTAACACTTTTTGAATGATTAATAGTGCATTTTATGTACAAATACATAGATTGGACCAAAATGAGGGACACATGAGGAGGAAAGAGGGACAGAGGGACTTTGTTCAAAATCAGGGACAGTCCCTTGGAATCAGGGACAGTTGGGAGGTGTGTGAATGGTTCAAAGAATACAAGGTGTTGAATCACCTCCTTGTGTGGGAGCCACAGCTCCTATAGCCACAGTACCAGAAGTCCAGCACTAGAGGTAGTATACCATGAATACATTATACAGTAAGCAGGACTGATCTAAGGACAGTTTAATACATTGGGCCAAGTTAGACTGAATTATGTTACAGTTTGGCAGATTTTTAGATATTTACTCATAAGATGTCTTTAAATATAGAAAGAATAGTCTGCCCTACAAATTGTAAATCACTTCCTGGTATTTTATGGGATAACCCTTTTGCACAGCACAGCCTACATAATGTTCTGCTGTGATTCTATAATGTGCCGGGTGGGTCTAACAATGTATTGTAAAGTGTGATGGGCAGCATAAAACAGACTTTACTGTACAGTTGAAGTGTAATATGCTCATATAATACCATATACCTGCCTCTCCCATCCCGTTCAACGTGCAAAACATTTTTTTTTCAATTTAAATTTTTTTTTTTGTCTTAGAAATACATCTTTTGAGATCCAGAACATCATTGTTGGATTGGTCTGCTAGTCTTTTCTCCCTAGCAAGAGCAGGAGCTGAGTGGCTCCTGTAAGGATCATAAGCACTCTCTTTTGTTTTATATATAAAAGAATACATCCACATTTCCCTTTTAGAAATGCAGTTCTGCTGGCCACTAGGTACTGTTTGTCTAAAGCAGTGCAATCTGCTGATGAGGTGCTTGTTTAAAATCAATTAAAGTGGCTAGCAGTGATGCACGTCTAAAGGGATGCTGCGGATGTGTTCTTTCACATATGGACCAGGAGGAGAGGTAATTGATGATGACTGAAGATGTTAGAACAGGAAATGAAGGTGGGCTCAAGATAGCTTCTGCAGCTTCAAAGGGTTATATTGTGGAGATACAGGTTTGCAGGGAATTGAGAGTAATCCGTTTCAACACAGGAGAGAACATGTTATTTCCTGCTTTTTAATGAACATGAGTCTAAACTTCCTATATATCTTTACATTAGTCAGGGCTGCAGCACTGTACTGGCTGCACAGTATAAATATCCCAGTTGTGTAAATTCAAAACATTTCTTCATTATGTGCTATAATTGTTCCCACTCTTTGCTGTCACTAGGTATGTTCAGCCACCAGTCATAAGCTTTGAAGCCATATTTGAACAGAGTGTTCCAACTTCACCAATCGTCTTTATCTTGAGCCCAGGGTCTGACCCTGCCAGTGACCTCATGAAGCTAGCAGAGAGATCTGGATTTGGCGGAAACCGACTTAAGTTCCTTGCCATGGGACAGGGGCAGGAGAAAGTATGTGTTTTGGCTTTGTTTACAGTTTTCCATTAGTTGTATTTTATATTCACTATTTGTGCCATGCCGATGTGCACCATTGATCTACAACTTTCTGATCTATACTGTCACATGTGGCAACATTGTCTAACATGCTTCTGTACACATGCATGGACAAATACTAAGATATTAGCAACATCCGAGACTGCGTTTATTACCTTACTGCTAGTATAGGGTTGAGTTATTAAAAAGATAAGTTGTACGTTGTTGTCATGCAGGTAAAAGTCAACCTCCGACACAAAAGAACAAGCAGCATTTCTTTAAAAGCAAAATCAGTATCTGTTGTAAGCACCTGAATATAGACGATAACAGCTGCACCAGCAAATGGCTAGTACATGGCCGAATGCCACTTTTGTTTGCAAAAGGTCAAGAAAATTCTGTTTTATGATGTATAAAATATCTAGTGGAATGTTGAAGGTGCTACCTTAATCTGGAATATCAGTGACGCTTAGCTGACAGATTAGCTGTTCTGGAGTGCTTTAAAGTAGTACCTAGCATCATGTTCAATATATGGCAGTTGGTGAGCCTGGCCTATAAGTGAAATTTAGCTTCACAAACCTTGGTTTAATATAAGGTAGAGGTGCATAAGCATACAGATGAGTATAGACCAGGGCAGGGGCAGACTGACAACTCATGGGGCCCCCAGGCAATAAGGGATCATGGGGCCCCTGTGTCCTTGCCCAAACTCAAAAAAGCCTATGAAAAAGGTACCAGGGGCATCTCATGGGGCCCCCTACTGACCCTGGGCCCTTGGGCAAACCCGAGTTTCCAAAATGGTCAGTCCGCCCCTGGACCAGGGTTCTCCAAGCGTTCTAAACAAAGAGCAAGTTTACAGTCCTTCAGACTTTAGGGAAGCTGGACTGTGACCTTTGGAAGTAGAAAATGTCCTAGCTTCAGTGGGAGAAAACAGTGCTTTATCTCTGGAGTCAGTGAGAAGAATTGTACCCCAATGTTGGCCATTGGGTGGAAAGAATTATGCCCCATCGTTGGTGTCATTGGGAGGAATTGTGCCCAGTCATTGGTGTCATTGGAAGGAATTGTGCACCATCGTTGGTATCATTGGGAGGATTTTTGCCCCATCGTTTGGTGCCAGCAGGGGGAATTATGCTCCATTGTTAGTGTCAGAGGATGAAATATTGCCCCAAGGGCCAAATAAAGGCAACCAAAGGGCCTCATCCAGCCCTTCATTGCCAGTATTGTAATGTACTCATTTATACTCGCATAAACATGCCTATGGATGAGTAAACATGCGTATGCAAGTAAATGACTGCACTCAAATGAAAGGTTTTCTATTTTAACTTACTGCTCTGTACTCAATGCTGTATTCCTGATCTTTGCTCAGCTGTGTACAATGCCCCGTAGACAACAATGCATCTAATTTCAGATCAGTAAAAGAAAAAGCATTTTTTGCTACCGTATGCAAGAGGCCATTGAATGAAAATGGATGGATGTTAGTTTACATTCATCTGCCCACTGACTAACATTGAGCTTCTACTCTAGATCTCTCTGAAAAACTGACAGTCAGATCTGATCGAAAGGCTGAGTGAAAGGGATCTTATTGTTAGAAATTCTGTGTAATTCCCTAACTGCTGAGCAGAATTCTAGGCTTATTTAATTATTATTATTATTATACAGGATTTATATAGCGCCAACAGTTTGCTCAGCACTTTACAATATATAACGGAAGACAATACAGCAACAATATAGTTCAATACAAGAGGGATAGGAGGGCCCTGCTCCTTGGAGCTTACAATCTAGGATTTTATTGTGTTTGAACAGTAATATGCTCCTCATATGAAATGTAGGTGCTTTGGTCATACAGAGCAAACAACTAGGTTCGCATGCTCCTGCACGCATGTCAAATTTTCACATGTGGCTATGTCTAGCTGTGCCTGTGCAGCTATTGCATCTGCATCCACCTCTATAGGTTGCCTGCACACAGCCCCGGGGCTCATGCAGGCACAATACCAAACGCCACCTGCACTCAGAACTGGTGTCAGCGCTCATCTGGATGAAGCCTAAGAGCTGATTCACACACTTGCAGTGCGGATTGAAGCTAAGGTTTCACAGCTAATTGACACAGTAGTTGTTCAGTAGTTCAGGTCAGGTTTACATCAGGTTCAGGTCAGGATTGTATCCTGTTCATATATGTGCAGTTTAGAAACGGTTCCCATAGAAGTCAATAGCCTGTAATCAGCACCTGAACCCGACCGCACTGCTCAGAAATCGGACTGGACTCTTTTTCAATCCGCAGTGAATACCCACCGCCAGTGCACTGGACATATGTGAACAGGAACCATAGGAAGCAATGTTATTTCACATGTCATGCAGATTGGATGCGGTTCAACCACATCCAACAATCATACATGTGAACTGGCACTTAGTATGTATTAATAGAAAACGTTTGTGTTTACACATATTTCTACAGCTTTGCCATTTTTCCTAGGATCATTTATGTTAGTAGTCCCGAAGTGTGGTTCATATTTTCTTTTTCTTTTTTTTTTTCTTACTATAGATGGATACTTGAGGACCTCTGCGTATGTTCCTGGATTTTTTTATATATTAGTTTGGTTATGGATATATTGTTTTGAGTCCATGAAGTCAGTTGTTTTTGCAGTGTTTGTGAACTGGCTGTATATTTGGGTACATTATCTAGTCAAGTTGTACTGATACCTAATCGATTTTTGATCTGTTACATTGTAACAGGTTGCTCTGCAGCTGCTGGAGATAGCGGTATCTCGTGGGCAATGGCTAATGCTACAGAATTGTCACCTCTTGGTGAAATGGCTGAAGGATTTGGAGAAAGCCTTGGAGTTGATAAGGAAACCTCATCCAGATTTCCGCCTGTGGCTCACCACAGATCCCACCAAAGATTTTCCAATTGGAATACTACAGAAATCCCTCAAGGTAAATACAGTATAATCACTGATAAAACAGAATAAAAAGTACAATAGTAATGATCAGCATGCAATCAGAATGCATACTGGACCTTATGACTTTTTAAAAGGCTTTTCTATAATTGAGATGTAGTGTTATAGACTAAAGTGCTATATCATAATGCTTATCAGCAGATTTATAAGGGGGTGGTAGTATGGGGAAAATGCTCACTATAAAGATGATAATTTTTCCATTGGTGTCTGACGAGTTAGGTGGTATACATGTGGGGGGGACACTGATACTCCATAAAAATGGATTTAATATCAGTTTCATGGTATATAACATATAAATAAGTGCTTTAGATATCCTCAGGAAATTAAGAAATTATATGCGTTGGAACATTTATGCAAATTCACAATGTTTTTCTCTAATGATCCAGCATAGAGAAGGCAGCCCTGCCAATCACAGCCTAATAGGAAAACAGAGTTTCATGTGTGTGGACTAAATAAAATACTGCGTGTGCCTGATTTACTAAAAAATGTAGTTAGGTGACGTGACCTAAAGTTAAACTGGGACTGATATCGTATAATGGAATTTAAAGTTACTCTTAACCATCGGTCATGTGAATAAGCTCTGTTTAAGTGCGCTCAGGCTACTTCACTGCACTTTACACATTTGATAATTTTTTGTTTTCAATTCTGTACATTTCACCTTACTTCAGGCCTTCTATGTATGTAAAAGAAAAGAGAAAAAAAATGTATGTGTGTGTGTGTGTATATATATATATATATATATATATACACATATATATTATATATGAAGAGCATTCAAGTCAAAACAAAGCTTTATAGGCATTAGTTAAATGCTGGGAGGGATAAGTGTATAAATGTAGCTGGGGAAAATGTTGAAAAATAAATGCAGTTTCCGCTCCTTGAAATTTGTTCTTTTATTATATCCCGGTTTGACTTGAACGCCCCATGAATATATACTGTACATGCGTGTGCATATATATATATATATATATATATATACAGTGCTCAGCATGAATGAGTACACCCCAACAGAAATCCTTTACTTTCTTTCAGAATCAAAATTTTCTATGGGACATTATACTACAAAATACTCCCACAAATGTGGGCCATTAATTGCAAACAAGATTTGTTAATTTGCACACACAAAAAAGTATTTTGTAATATGTCACCAACTTGTTCATTCCATACCTAGAAGACTTGGTGCTGTCCTTACAAATCATGGCGGTCATGAACTAATTTGAGTAAAACTGAAGATTTTCGTAATCTAAGTTATATTATTAACCTTACTTTCATGTAATGAGCTAAACACATGTTCTATAAAACTCAGTTTTGTCAAAATCTTACTTTTCAAAAGGGGTGTACTCTTTATGCTTAGCAGTGTACTGTATATATATATATATATATATATATATAAAACTAGCAAATAGTGACATAGGTCTTACAAGCCTCACACATACCATGATTTTTAACACAAACGTAATAAGACAGTTCTGATTTTGCTTTTCACAATGCTGCCAGTTACAGCTGTGAATATGTTGACAGAAGAGCACGGGGTGATCTCTTCAGTAAGCTGCTGCTCCTACATTGTCCAGTCTCAGACTGGGGTAGGTCCTTGCCAGACTTTATTAACTACACTGTAGTCTACAGGTAGGTCCATGATCTGGCTCAGCTGTTTATCTTGTGGCTCACAAGAATGGCTGAGCAGAACCAGACTTTTTTTGGCAGCTAAAACAGTTCACGTACAAGTATTTTAGCTGAGAATTTCCCTGTTTTTTTAGACATCAGTTTTAACTTCTATGCTGTTTATCATATTTGTAGATAAATAGATGTTTCCTGTATTCTCCAGGTGGTTACAGAACCTCCCAATGGGCTGAAGCTGAACATGAGGGCAACATACTTTAAAATCAGCCATGAAGCTCTTGATGCCTGTCAGCATCCAGCGTTTAAATCCCTTGTCTATGTCCTGGCATTCTTCCATGCTGTGGTGCAGGAGAGAAGGAAGTTTGGAAAGATTGGTTGGAATGTGCCTTATGATTTTAATGAATCAGATTTCCAGGTATGGATCAGTATCTGGGTAGTTACTCTCACCGACAATGTGCAAGGTAGGGTGGAGGCAGCTAGCTTGATGTATTGTTCTTCATGGCAAATCATATTGCAGGTACCCTGATTCAATGGGGCTAATTAAGGGGTACTAATTATTATTATACAGTATTTATATAGCACTAAAAGGTTTGCTCAGCGCTGTACATTATAGTGGGGGACAGAACATGAGACAATACAGTAACAAAACAAAACACGAGGAGGTCAATGGCCCTGCTCTTTCGAGCTTACAATCTAGGAGGGAGGGGATAGTGGTACAGAAGGAAGTGGCTGTGGGGGATGGAGTGGTAGGAGGAGTGGAGGAGATCGGCTGTTAGGTGAGGGCGGGGTAGGCTTCCCTGAAGAGATGGGTTTTCAGGGTGCACCTAAAGGTGAGGAGGGTAGGTGACAGTCTGATGGATTGGGGTAGTGAGTTCCAGAGGAATGGGGGAAGTCCTGGAGAAGTCCTGCAGTCGGGTGTGGGAGGTGGAGACCAGGGAGCTAGAAAGTAGGAGGTCTTGTGAGGAGCGAAGAGTACGGGTTGGGTGGTATTTGGGTATCAGGTCGGTGAGGTAGTTTGGGGCAGCGTTATGAATGGTTTTGTATGTCTGTGTTAGTAGATTGAATTTAATGCATTGGGCAATCGGGAGCTAGTGGAGGGAATGACAGTGGGGGGTGGCAGAAGCGGAGCGGTTGGTAAGGTGGATAAGTCTGGCCGCTGAGTTCAGGATAGACTGAAGCGGGGATAGTCTGTGATGAGGTAGGCCGGTGAGAAGGGAGTTGCAGTATTCCAGACGTGAGATAATAAGGGAGTGAACGAGTTGAGAGATTGAAGATGTGGGTGAGGGAGCGTAGTATGGAGGAGGAGGGTGACTGGAGGAGTTGTGTGGGGACAGGGTCAAGGGGGCAAGTGGTGAGGCGGGCTTCTGAGAAGACCTTAGTGACCTCCTCAGTGGTAGCAAGGCTGAAGCAGCGGAGTGTTGGGAAGGTTATAGTGTGCGGGATGTTAGGTGTGGTGGGGGGTAGGGCAGTTGCGAGGTCAGAGGAGGGGAGAGTTGATGGGGTTATAGTGGGAGGGAGGCTATGTGGGGAGGTAGGTTGAGCATTGGCGATGTCCTTACGGATTGCATCGATCTTATTTTGGAAGTGATTGGCAATCTCGTGGGTGGTGAGTAAGTTACTGGGTGGGGGGGGGGGGCGGCGGAGAGAGTAGGGAGTCGAAAGTGGAGAACGGCTGGCGAGGACAGGTGGAGAGGGTGTTGATGAGGGTTACGAAGTAGGCTTGTTTGGCGGCGAGGAGGGAGGAGGAGTAGGTGAGGAAGGCGGATTTGTAGAGGGAGAATGCTCGAGGGGATTTGCAATGTACATAGATCACCGAGAGTGGACAACAAAAGTGGAGTTACTTTTAAATTTATACTGTGCATATCATACACTGTGACATACTTATTTAGAACAGCCTAACATGTTGTGCCATTTATAGGCTGCTTTCCATTATGCTTTTTTCTGTCGCGTCTGTTCATTTTTTCTATTTTTTTTAGCTATTCTCCTATTACAACTGTGATGTACTCTCTGCTGCTACAAAATAAAGAATGTATTCCTGATTACATTTTTTTCATTGCCTGCTAATTTACAACCTTGATAGTAAGCCACGGTACAAATGTTGTCCTATATAATTTTGTTTTGTGTTACACCTGCTCTGGGAGGAAAATTAGAACCTTAATCACCATTGACGGGCCTCTAGTTTCCTGTCCTGTTGTTTACATGGATGTACAGTACCTTATCAAATAGCAGCTGAATTGTTTCACATATTGGAAATCTTTTTGTTAAAAATATCTAGCATAAAAATCTAATCACATAATTGTATTTATCATCACTTGTTTTTGTTTTCCTTTTAGGTGTGCATGGAAATTTTAAATACATATCTAACCAAAGCTTACACTCAAAATGATACCAGGATACCATGGGGCAGTCTGAAGTACCTTATTGGAGAGGTTGGTTTGTTTCCTGGCTCTTACTAATGTCATTGATTTCCAGTAACAACATAAATAGCAAGGTCATGCAGCTTACTGTAAAACACATGCAATTATTGGTTATCTAATGGCCTCTGTCTTTCCAGGCAAATGCTAGATGAGTATAAATAAGACTTTTGTTTTCCTGCTACAAATGATACATAGAAACTATGTGGGGTGGTGTGGAGACAGGGAACTTGTTACAAATTAAGTGCATTGAAGTGAACATGTGTTAATGTAAAACATCCAGTCATCTGTAGAAGAATTTAAAAAAAGACTCCCAAATGGATGTTTGTAGTGAACACAGTTTCTTGTTGCTTCTCCCCACCACACTTCACATTAAATTAAATTATCCCCTGTGTCTGAGTGCAGCAGAGCATTTTTGCTTCTTCTGTGTGTTTGAGAGGCTTGTGGTAGGAACATACAAAGTATAGGGTAAATATCATAGATAGAATGGCCATGCGTTTATATTATGAGAAGCGAGAACTGCCTTGACCTCACAATGTCTATTCTCAGGTTTGTATTAAACTACTGATCTGCTTCTTCCAATTCATATAAGATTTTGTTCCATTAGCCGACATTGCTTGTAATTGTAATTGTGCTTGTAATTATTTAGAAGTCTTTTGATAATGGTTCTTGCAGCTCCTTTAAGTAATTTTGACTTTTGTAGAGTTGTTAGCTCTTTACTAAAATTAGATAGACTAAAATAGGAATTTATGTCCTCATAGTGTATTCGTTTCAAACATATTTTCAAACATAAGTTGAATTCCACATACCCGCCCCACTCCTTTGGTCCCCACTGCACTTTTAAGCTATTTAGCAAGGTTACTGCCACCCACGTCTACCTATCCGTACACTTCTCACTCCATAGACCATTTCAGAGGATGCATATCAGAATAATGTCAGCGATCACATGACCGTGCTGACCAATGAGAATCGCTTCTTTCTTCCAGAACAGATGCTCATGGGTCAGTACGGTCATGTGACATCATCACTTGCCATTGCCTGCATTGTTTTGATACACAGCCTGTGAGGCTGTGTTCAAATTGAGAACTTGACAAAACAACATGAGAAACTGTAAACTTGACAAATAGCAATTCTTTGCAGTGGGGATGCCCTGAGAGGTAACATTTTCATTTTTTGATGCAAAAATTAAATTCCCCTTTAAAGTCACAGTACTATTCAATTTCAGTATTTTTTTCACTAGTGTTCAACAGTCCTGACATATTTATGTGCAATAATATATTAATTACTTGAATGGACAATGACCAATTCAGTTTCTTTTACTAAGACAACCTAATCCACCAGCATGAAGAGCTCTGGGCTAAAATACTCCACATCTTTTAGCATCAATGGCTTTTCTGACACTTTCCTTAATAAACTCTGTTGTAGAAAGGTAAACTATATGCTATGTGTCATTAAAAATATACAGCTAAAAGCACCATTGTAACCTAGCCTTCAGGAAGCCTAATGACACCTGACTGTGTCTCTACAGGTTATGTATGGTGGCCGAGCCATCGATAGCTTTGATAGAAGAATTCTAACCATATACATGGATGAATATTTGGGCGACTTCATATTTGACACATTCCAACTTTTCCACTTTTATAAGAATGATGAAGTTGACTACAAAATTCCAAGTGGTGATAAAAAGGATGACTTTGTTGGTAAGATAATGTTTCTGTCATTGCAATCAATAATAGTTTTTTTGTGCAGTTTTTAAGGAAGACCTTTAGTTTAGACAATTTCTGTGTAAAGGTTATGGTGGTAGAGATGTTTGTACCTTTTTAATTTAATCTATTATCAGTTCAGGTTTTCACTTGCACATTAGCTAATCTTAAACATATCCCTAGCATTTACATACCACGCGTGCATCCATGACAAATTAAACACAGATAGAAAACTTCCCGTCATAAGAGAACAGAGTTTGAATTATGGTCCATTGATGGATACAGTTTGATGACAATGAACCAACCCTTGCTTGTACTGCCGCAGACAGGAGAAATAGTTAGTAGGCACATAGAAAACTGAAAGCCAACTCCCTGGAAGCTATAACCTCCCCCACCTCAAACCTGCTCAGTTTTGCTTAGTGTCCTTAAAAGAATGGATGTCTCTTTCCTTTCTGGTATATTTTTGCTTTACTTGGAAGATTTTCTTCTGTTATGCTGATATTCTCTCTGTGATGGCAGGTAGTTAGAACCCATCTGTATTCCAGTTACCACAAGGCACTGCTCTCAGATCAGACCAGTACATCTGTGGATTCATTGCTGAGTTTTCATTACCAGAGCTGTGGCAATTTTCATCTGGCCTCATTTCTGAAGACTTATTGGGTGGTTAGGCAGACCTCTTTGGAATTTTCATCTTTAAATGTACCTACATTTCGCCTGTGTCCTCTTCCATCCTTGAATGCTCATTTCTCTACCTATGTCACAGCATGGATATTTGCTTCTGTTATGCAAGGTTTTATGACTCCTTTAGCGTTACTTCTTATGATCACAAGGGCTTAAAAGGCCAACTGCCAGTTTCCCCTGTGGAATCTGACACAGAGATGCCTATAATATTTTGGATTCTGTCAGAAGACGTCTAGAAGATTTATTGTCGGAGTCCATCCCTTCCAACAACAATAAAAGACAACAGAAGCATGTTTAAGGCAGAAAAATAAAAACAAGTTCAAACAACACAGTCAGAATATCCTGAGAAAATTGCCTACAGTTCGACCACAAAGGGTGACGATTCTGTTGCCTTTCAGAAGAGTCACTTGGCAAGGGTTCATCTTCAGGTAGTGACTCAGGGGCCACAGGTGGCAAGGGGTCAAGGGGTCACACATACCCTCCACTGTTCCCTCATCTGGGCCCAAGGTCCTCAGACATATCACAGTTTGTTGTAACTGGATAGAGTTGCCAGGTTTCCAGGACTCCTAGCACCAGCTGCCAGTCCCTTAGTCGGTGGGTCTGGAGGCTCGACCACAAGAGAAGGGGGGAAACCATTCAGCAGGGGCCTCGTGCAGAGTAGAAACACCCCCCCCCCCGATCATCAGCAGGCTTTTAGCAGCAGTCACAACCTAGTACACAGGGTCTTAGCATGTTACAGTGAAGTCACCTTTTTACAGGGTTGGGCCTCTTAGAGACCAAGACATTGATGGATTTACGTGGGAAAGGTTGCCTCACTACTGGATACAGGATACGCTCCCACTTCCAATTTATTGCTCTGGTGCTTTTGGTATTTTTCACCAACACCCTAACACAATGGTAGTTCCTCCAGAGCAGAGTCAGATGCCATTTCTCTGTGTTTATCCAATACTAGCTGCTTTCCCCTTTGCATCTGCCCGCAATGTTCCTGCACCCTAGAACTTAGCATCTGAGGCAGAAGGTGTTCTGGGGATCCTAAAAAAGAGGTCCACTGGCATTCGGCCATATCGAAAAAAAGTAGGGTGTGTGACTGGCGGATGGTGTTGATGTAGGCTCACACTACGGCTCCCATGTGTTGGTGCCATCTGTCCCGGTAACTCAGTTCTAAGGTCCACAGAATCCCCAGAAGGGTGTAGTTGAACTGCTCACAGGCTCCATTACCCTTGCGATGGTAGGGAGTGGTGTGGGACTTCTGCCACTAAGGCAGTACAGATCCATTACAATCAATGACTCAAAGCTCAGGCCTTGGGATGAGAAAATTTGCTTTGGAACAGCCATAGGGGTGAACGATATTCTCTTAGAAAGCTTGGCAGTAGTGGCAGCTGTTTGGGAGTACCACCACCGAGAATTTGGTAAAATGGTCGATGAAACCCAGCGCATACTGATAACCGGAGGGTGCTGGAGATCATCAAAAAGTCCATGGTTACTGTGCAACCCTGCTAATTTATTATATGTTCAATTTTGAGTTAAAACCAATTTGAGTGGGGGAATATATAGGAATATTGTAAATATATATATACAGTCAGGTCCATAAATATTGGGACATCGACACAATTCTAACATTTTTGGCTCTATACACCACCACAATGGATTTGAAATGAAACGAACAAGATGTGCTTTAACTGCAGACTGTCAGCTTTAATTTGAGGGTATTTACATCCAAATCAGGTGAACGGTGTAGGAATTATAACAGTTTGCATATGTGCTTCTTACTTGTTAAGGGACCAAAAGTAATGGGACAGAATAATAATCATAAATCAAACTTTCACTTTGTAATACTTGGTTGCAAATCCTTTGCAGTCAATTACAGCCTGAAGTCTGGAATGCATAGACATCACCAGATGCTGGGTTTCATCCCTGGTGATGCTCTGCCAGGCCTCTACTGCAACTGTCTTCAGTTCCTGCTTGTTCTTGGGCCATTTCCCTTCAGTTTTGTCTTCAGCAAGTGAAATGCATGCTCAATCGGATTCAGGTCAGGTGATTGACTTGGCCATTGCATAACATTCCACTTCTTTCCCTTAAAAAACTCTTTGGTTGCTTTTGCAGTATGCTTTGGGTCATTGTCCATCTGCACTGTATATATAGTGAGAACTAGCATCAAGCGTAGAGTTTTTAAAGCACACAGCCACTCGCTTTCTTCTTTTTCAGGGCCATTTTAGCCCAATTTTATTTAAAAGAAAGTTCCAGAAATTTCCCTCACAGGGGTTTTCAGCATTTCACTCTTCAAAAAAAAAACCCCAGATATTTAGCCTCCTGGCTTATATACACAATTCTGCCGCTCCGGCCTTCCACTTCAGGCTCACGGCTGTCTCCTGCAGACTCCTTCCTAAATGGCTTTTTCTGCACACAGCTGGCAGCCACTTGCACAGCTAACAGCCCCTTGCTGCTGTGGCTCCCACCTCTCCTAGGTGGAGTCCTCCTGGCTCCAGGGCAATGACCTCCTGTCTGCCGGGGTGGAGCCCAGAACCATGGTTAGGCCTCTACAAAAAAGGCCTGCACACACCTGTGCAATCTGTGTGCTGGGGGTTCTGAAAACACGGACCCAGGATTGGAGACTTCATCCCTACCAAATCACTTAGAAATCTCCAGGCCCCAGGTCCCAAAACAGACTTTAAGAACCAACGAGGAAACTGACAAACTAGTTTCCTCTGCACTAAGCAACCCGCCTTGAGCCCCTCAACCTGTATGGTTGAGAATCCTGGGTTATAAGCCTGATTTAGACCGTGGCAGGATACCGCACTGCCACATATATATATACACTTTATGTTGTGTATTCTCGAATTATTGACCAAGCCAGGATATGACTGAGTTAGATATATTTTACAAACAAAAGTATCCAAGAACTCTTTGCTATGTTAATTTTATGCAAGATAACCTGGGCACTCAGGGGCCTGACTACATTTCAAAGGAGGTAATCTGCAAACTTGCAAGGTTGATAAAATGCAGATAACTCAGTCAGACTTCAAAGGAATACTTTTCAAAGTGTTCATTGTTTACATGTTTAAGGATGATAAAGAATGTGATTTGACCATACAAGAAGTATTTATTGATGGTAATTAGGGATATGGTGAAAGGATGACCTGTGTACCTGGTAAACACTATAGTGACCCTAATTGTTATCTATAGTAATGACAAGTGAAGTCTTTTCTTTTAAGATCAAAAGTGTTTTGTCAGCCAATCAGAAACCCCTCCAGTAAACTGTATTTTAAGGGAAGTTATTTTGGCTGGGAGATGAGCTTCTTCCTGTCATTAATATTGGAGCACAGGCATAGATCATAACTCACATTATTGCACGCATGGAAGCTACGTAGGTGCATATTACAGACTGGACATATGCTGGACGGTGTAGTATCTCTATGCTTGATATGAAGTATCTTAAATGGGACTTTGAGGGTTGTTGTTTGTTGTAATATTTACAAGTATTCAGCTGGATTTCTGTCATCTGTAACAAATATCTTTATCCGAATAAATGCATCTCTCTGCAAAAGAATTGTTTGACTAGTTGCTGCGGGAAAAGTACATTTATAAATATACACTGGTCATACATCCTCCATCATTGATATAAGAGAACAGATTTGTCTTATGAACTGTTTCGGTGTGGACCTCATAAATTTATAAGACAGTTACCGGTTTTAAAGTCTTGGTGGTGGTGTTAGTCATGGGTGTTGTCCTTTCACGGGGGACCTTGTGTACTGTGCAGCTCTCACACTCCCAACAAGCTTTTTGTACCCAGTCTGATAAGCGGGGGCAGAAGAAATATCTCTGCACCAATAACTCAGTCCGATCTGCCCTGAAATGGCCACCTGTTGCATGGAGCACCTGACAGATTTGCAAAATATGCAACTAGGGGACCACAACTTGGAGGATATCCAGCTGTTTGGTAGGGATGTGTGCCTTATGGTATAGTACTTTGTCCCGTGTCTCCAGCTGATACCACTGCCTTAGGATTGCCGAACAGTGGGGGACAACTTCTGGCACTTCCAGGAGGGCATGTACTTACAGGAGAGGTAGTGCTGCACCTGCATCAGGTCCTTTTGCTGACTCAGTGCCTATTCCTTTCAACCAAAGAATTCAACAGCCTTTGCACATGGGCCAGGGGCCTGTTCTTCGATAGTGCTTGAGGTGGCTGGCATAGGGAGAACAGGGGTGACCTCTGTGTCCTCCTAGTAAGAATCCACATCCTCCCTAGGGCGCTCCACTGAAAAGCAGGACAGAGCATGTGCATTCCAAAGCTTAAACAGCGCCAGGCATGTGGTTTA